TGGTAAGGGGCAGGAAGCCGCGGCCACGTCCCGAGCGACGGCACATGGCGCCGCTTTGAAACAGGCGAACGAGGGGGAGGCGGCGCGAGGAGGAGGAGGAACCGCCCGTCCTCCATCGTTGCTTGGCTCCCGGCGGCAGCGCAGCGTGAGCATCCCAAGGGGGGAGGAGGAGGAGGAGGAGGAGGAGGAGGAGCGGCGATGCGAAGAAGGGGCCCCGAGGGGTGGGGCCCCGAGGGCTGCAGACTGGCAGAGGACAGGGGGGGAGGGCGAACTCCTTCTTCCTCCTCCTCCTCCTCCTCCTCCTCCCTCCTCCTCCTCCTCCTCCTCCTCCTCCTCCTCTTTCTCCTCGCCCTCGTCCTCCTCCTCCTGTTCCTCCTGTTCCTCCTCTTCCTCCTCCTCCTCCTCCTCCTTTTCCTCCTCATTTTCCTCCTCCTCCTCCTCTTTCTCCTCGCCCTCGTCCTCGTCCTCCCGCGCGGACCAATCGGCCTCTGCCTCGTGCGTGCGTGCGGGCGGGGCGCAGCAGCGAGCGCGGGCGAGCCCGGGCCAGACGATGCGGTGCCCTTCCCCGGGTCCGGCGGAGGCCCTGGGGGGTCCCGTTGGCGCCCCGATGGTGTCCCCGTGGCGTTGTGCTGTTAGGGTGGTAAAACGACGCGAAGATCGGGACAAAATCGGATCGGGGTAACTCGAAATCTCTAAGAATCGGCGGGTTTGGAGGATGTATTGGGCGCCGCGGCCGCTCCAGACCGTTCCGGAACGCTCTGAGAGCGCTCCGGAACGCTCTGGAGCGATTTATCCCGATCCTAGCCCTGTTTTAGGTGGAGCCGGGCACAGTGAGGTTGTGTCCTCCCCCGGTTGGCCGGCGGTGGCCTGTGGGGTGTCCCGAGGGTGTCCTGGTGGTGTCTCGATGGTGTCCCGATGGTGTCCAGATGGCGTCCCGGTAGTGCCCACATGGAGTCCCGATGGTGCGTTGACGGTGTCCCCATGGTGTCCCGACGGTGCTCCCAGGGGGTCCCGTGTCGAAAGCCTCTCGACGTTGCCTCGATGGTGTCTCGATGGTTGTTCCGATGGCTGTCACGGGAGATCGACATATAGATAGATAGACAGATTGTCAGATCAATCGATAGTGAGACGGCTCGATGGTGAGGCTGGTCTATCTATCCATCCTTCTATGTATCTATGTATATATATAGAGAGACATAACTGTGTATATATACACATGTATATATATATATATATATATATATATATACATACACCGGGGGATTTGGCCGGGGGGTCCCGCCCAGGGACATTGGCAGGGCTTGGGGGTCCGGAGCCTTATATTTCCCTCTTGTTTTCGCAGGGCTTCGGCAACCGCGAGCCACCAGAGCTCCGGGGGGCGTGGCCTGGGGGGTCCCGCCCAAGGACCTCGGCGGCGCATGGGGGGGCCAGGGCCTTACTTTTTTTGTTTTTTGTAGAGGTGTCGCCGGCCCGGAGCCAGCGGTGCCCCAAGGGGTCGCAGGGAGTTCCATGGGCTGCTCCCGCCTGGTGCCCCAGGTCTCCCA